CTAGTTGGATGCAGGGTCACCTAGACTGATTCTTACCTTTCTCAGTCAAAATTCCTCATGTAAACCACAGAATGCAGAAAATGATTCGAGTGGCATTTTTCTCACATATTTCAAAGATTACTTTATCCAGTACCTTCCTGGATATATAGGAGAGAAATCAGTAGGTAGCATACAGTAAATGTCTTAGGACAGGAGTCAGCAAACTTTTTCATAAAGAGCCATATAGTAAATATTTTAGGTGTCATACAGATAGGAGGCAAAAAGTAAGGCTGCTATGTAGGTACTTTGATAGCCATTTAAAAGGTAACCATTTAAAAATGATTAAAAAAAAAGAAAAACTGTTTTATGGGCTATTAAAAAAAAAAGGAAGCAGGTGCCTGGTGGGATTTGGTCCATAAGCTGTAGCTTATTCATCCTCTGTTTAGGGCATTAGGGCTTAATTTTTCACTGACTTTGTTCAGAAAATCCTCTTTTTATTTTCTCTCATATTTTCCTTCAGCTTAGCTTTTTGTTCTATATTTTGAGAGATTTCTGCAAATTTACCTTAGATTGCTTATATTTGAATTCAGCAGTCATTTTTAGTTGCAACACCACTGCATGCCTCTTAATATAGTGTCCTATTTTTGTCTTATAGATTCAAGACTTCCATAGATATTTCTAAGGAAACACCTTACAGGTTTTAAAGGTGTTTACTTTTGTTTCCTAAGTATTTTTTTTTCTTTGGGGACAGTTCTTCTGGTTATACATCTGTGATATCTGCTAATATAGTTACACTTAACAATGACACAATAGAAAAATCATCTATTGCTTCTATATATGAAAAGCACAAACATGGAACAATTAATTATATTTTTAGTTATCATTTGTACATTACACATTAAAACTGATGATTGCATTATTGTTGAACCTCTATCTGAAATCAAAGAGGAGCTCTTTCATAATGTGTGTGTGTCTGTGTGTGTTTAGGTTTAGGTGCCATATGAATATTCTCTCATTAGGGCCATTGACCCCTTTGGTTCAACTTTCTGTTCTTTTGTTTTCAGTTTCTTCAGAAGCCCTCCTTCATTGCTTTCTTTCCCACTTCATCTCTTCCAGAAAAATGTAGATATTGCTCACCTGCTGGTGGCCCTCGCATGTGCATATGATCTTTGCTGTGTTGCTTTTATGCTGATAGCTTATGGTGAATGATGTCGGATTCGTGATCTCCGAAGAAGATTTAACTTCGGGACCAGGGACCAGGCTTAATCACTCAAGTGCTTTGGTGTAGCAGAGTTTTATTAAAGTATAAAAAGGGACAGAGAAAGCAAAGATCTTACCAGGCCCACTCCCACTATATATACATTTTAAGATAACAGGATTAGTCAGAAGGTTTTCAGGAAGGAGAAACATGTCCTCAAGCAGGATACATTATTGTTATATAATCCTTACTAAGGAATGTAGAAAAAAAATTTGTCCTTTCCTCCTCCTTGAGAATTCCAGACCCCTGTCTCTGCCTTGAGAGCCTCAGATCCCTTTCTCCTCCTCAGGGACCCTGGACTTCTTAACAATTGTCTAGAAATTGACTGTCAGTGCCTTTTACAAATTCCTTTGTTATTACGAAAATAAGATCTCAAGGGGGAGAGGATTAATGTTTGTGTTTAAACTGTCCTTCTTGAATTAGAATTCTCAACCACACATTTTAAATTGTTTTCTTGCATTTACCGTGTGCCTTTGATATATAAAGTAGACAAGTGTTTTATGGTGTTTTTATAATTCAGTAGGCAGTTATTCCTGGAGGAGGAAATGGCAACCCATTCCAGTATTCTTGGCTGGGAAATCGCATGGACAGAGCGTGCTACAGTCTATGAGGTCACCAAGAGTCGGACACGACTTAACCGAACAACAACAGAGAGCTATTACGTACTATTAACTTCAAAAATGGAAGAATGTAGTCAGTTTTCTAATAACTGAAAATGAAGGGGAGTGTCTGGGGAGGTAAAACTTCAGAGTGGAGTTGACATTTGAGCTGAGGCTTGAATAAGGGGTAACTTTTGGACTTGTTGCGTGGAGGAGGTATTGCACATGGAGTGACCTTAGCATGCACAGAGGTGCAGATCAGAAAGCTCAGTAAGCAGTAATTAGACTGTTTGTTGTGGGACTAGAGCATAGGGTGTTGGTGTATTTGCGTGGGCAGGGGACAGTTACAGGACACAAGGCTCGAAAGGCAAACTGGGCTCAGGTCCTGAAGCTCATTCTGTGCCCAGGCATTTGAGTAATTTTCTTTAGGCCACTGGGAGTAGCTTTTGAATACAGCAGTAAAGAAGGCCTAAATTGTCTTTCAGATAAGTCACTCCAGTTACAATAGGAAAGATAGATTTTGAAGATAAGACAGATGAGGTAGAGCCTCCTGCTAGGAAGCTATTAATTATAGTCTGAACCAGGACCGCAGAGGCCTCTTCAGGTCACATCTAATATCTGTTGTCTTAGCAGTATTAAACATCTATACTGTCTACCAGGTATTTGGTTAGGCATTGAGACTTTTTGTTTTTTCTCTTATAATATTTTTCATGGCTTTCTTCCCTGTTCTCACTGGGACCATCAAAGGCAAAGCTCTCAACACTTCATGCCTGAGTTACTACAGCCACAGTCCCTGTGGACTCCAGGGTCTCTCTCTAGTCCTGTTTATTTTGTGTATCACTCACAAAATAATATTTACATGTGATCTTCATCATTTTACTCTTTTCCTTTAAAACCTTAATTTTCTTCCATACCAATCAAGTTTTAATTCGTTTTCTGGGTATCAGTGCCTTCAGCCTGGCTTTTCCCTAAATAACAAAATTTTTCTTAAGACTTTCTACCATAAAAATGTTCTTGTTAGTTGATTTTCGTAGAGCACACTCATTCTGCCCCCATACCTTTCTCTCCTTTGATCTCCTTGCTGTGAGTATTCTCTGTATTTTCTTACTCAAATTCTTCCCATCTTTCAAGTCTTAGCTCAAGTATCATCTCCTCCCCCAAATTTCCTCTACATCTTCCTAGAAAGGATTATTCTCTTACACTGTTTTCTAACCCCAAGGCATCAGTTCGGTTCAGCCCCTCAGTCGTGTCCGACTCTTTGCGACCCCATGAATCGCAGCACGCCAGGCCTCCTTGTCCATCACCAACTCCCGGAGTCTATTCAAACTCATGTCCATAGAGTCGGTGATGCCATCCAGCCATCTCATCCTCTGTCGTCCCCTTCTCCTCCTGCCCCTAATCCCTCCCAGCATCAGGGTCTTTTCCAATGAGTCAGCTCTTCGCATGAGGTGGCCAAAGTACTGGAGTTTTAGCTTCAGCGTCAGTCCTTCCCATGAACACCCAGGACTGATCTTTAGGATGGACTGGGTGGATCTCCTTGCAGTCCAAGGGACTCTCAAGAGTCTTCTCCAACACCACAGTTCAAAAGCATCAATTCTTCGGCACTCAGCTTTCTTCACAGTCCATCGCTCACATCCGTATGTGACCACTGGAGAAACCACAGCCTGGACTGGGGCTTCCACCCTCGTTGTTCCTGCATAGTTACACTGAGACTGCAGGGGTGCCAGCTGTCCTAACCAAGTTCCACACAGGAAAACGGAGGACAAAGGGCAAAAGCAACAGCTCTTCCAGCTGAGTCAGCCCCATTTAAAGAGCTCTCCCAGAAGTCCCACCCGGTGACTGAAGCTAGGTTGGCCTCTTTAGTCACCCCTAGGTGCAAGAGAACTTTTTTAGGGAGTCTTACTGAGAGTTTCAATGTTGAACAAGTCCAGAGGGCACTGTTCACACAGAAAACAATACATGAAAAAATGGAGTGTTTTGTATTTTTATCTGGGTGATGATGACATGGTAAACATGTATGAATGGTCATCAAGCTGGATATTTAAGATTAGTAAATGTTATACTTTTCTGAATTTGTTCTACTTTTCAATTAAAAAAGTTAATGCCCCTCTTCCCCAGAGTTGTGGTGACCCTAGGCAGATTGCTTCAGGTATAATTAGGATTATGTTATCAGAAGGACTTAAGGAAGAGCAGATATTGGTCTGGGTATCTCAATATCCTTGTCACACATATAGGACTTGACATCAGCTTTTGACATATAAGCCAAAGTTTTAATATATTTCAGTGTTTAATGTGATTTATCATAGTGAAAATATGAATTTAAATGTAAGAATGTTCTATACACCATCTTAACCTCTGGTTTAAAAAGTTATTAAAGATTTTCTTTTTGTTTGATATTTAGTAAATATTGTTAATAACTTGATGTTGAAACATTTAAGCAAAAATAAAAGCATTGGCTTTGAAAAATAAAATATTAATACTATATGTTAATTTTTACTTGTGCTGTAAGATATAAACAATAAGTGAAAACTCAGTGTATACTTTTTGACTGCTTAGGTATTTTATATAGTAGAAGCAATATTGGTTTTATCAAGTCAGTACTACAAGGATTCAGAACACTTGTTACCATAAAATCAACATCCACTTTGACTAGTTCTAACCTGATAAATAAAAAGTGAGTACATAAAATTAATAATAAGTTAAAATCCTGTCTGTATTTTTAAGTGCTTGCAAATATTTAAATTTTTGAAATTGTGTCTTTTATTGTATTTTAGAAAAAATGGGAAAATAAGAAACCAAATTCACTTTGTTTTTACGGTAAAACTTAGAAAATGGTTGACATGTGATGAGTCTTGGCTTTTGTAGTAAGTTTCACATGTAATTTAAAATACATTGTAAGTAACAGGAATTAGGAAATGGCAATGTTTACAAGCATTTATTTCTTGGTGTCTGTGGCTTGATGTTCACTTCTTTAAAAATTAAAAGTAGAGTTGATTTACAACTTGTTAGTTTCTGGTGTACAGCAAAATGATTCAGTTATATGCACAAATACACAGGTATGTGTGTATATATATATTCTTTTTCATTGTAGGTTATTATAAGATATTGAATATAGTTCCAGTGTTCACTTGTTTTTAAGCAAAGGTTATTTTTTCCTTACTTAGGTTCATCCTCAGCAACACCGGCTTCTATTTGAAGTGTTTGATGAAAATCGATTGGTAAGTCCTACCGTACAAACATAAACTGTGAAGCAAGGGTATACTTGAGTAATAAGCAAAAGTAGGCTGGGAATCTGTGAAATGAGAGATGCTTTTGAGGTGGTTATGGAAAGATTGAGCAAAATGGTGGATAGAATTTTTTTTTCCTCCTCTTTCCTGGTGCTACTTTCTTCTCTTCTCCCTGGCACCTCTCCTGATTATCAGTTCTCAGCAGATTTCATGGTCTTCCTCAAGGTCTCTCATAGCAGGAGATACAGAAAAGTCAGCTTCTTGGCCTGACCTTCCTGCACACTATGCTGGTACTCTGGTTGATAGTCCGAGGCTCAGGAGCCTTCCCATCTGAGCTCCGGTAGAGATCTTGAGGTTGCCTGTATCCAGTTATGACATCCCATTCTCTCCCTTACCCTCACCCTTCTATTGAATACAAAAGAAACCTCTCTAACTGATGAAGTTAAGTTCTCTAAAAAATTGCCAATGTTCAGAGAGACAAAAAGCAAATATAACCTGATTTTATTTTTATAAAAGGATAGTTGTGATTCCTAATTTCCTAAAGACTGTCTTGAAATCCTACCCTCTTCCTAATTTGTCTTGGAACTATATTTCAAACCTTTTTAGCATTTTATATTTACGTTTTAAACCTGTAAGATTTGAATATTGAGGCATAAGAACAGTGTTATATGGTCAAAGCTTATCAATTACTAAAACAGAAGCACAACAAAAATTAAAACAGTTTTATTCATTTTGTAGCTAACATAGAAGCTAGATTTTTTAAAGAATCTATTTTTAGTGTTAGACTATATAACACTTGGTGTTATAGATGTGATAACTGTACTAGTAACAGAAGATACTGGAGAAGGGAATGGCAACCCACCCTAGTATTCTTGCCTGGAGAATTCCATGGACAGAGGAACCTGGTAGGTTACAGTCCATGGGGTCACAAAGAGTCAGACACGGCTGAGCTACTGAGCATAGCACAGCACAACTGAAGATATTTCAGATGAAGTCATTAATTAGTACCATTATAGGCAAAGGTACTTTTTTTGCAGTCAAGGGAGACTTGATCACTAACTTGGCAATCTAATTTTGTAAGGCTCAGTGACAGATGTTGATGATTTGCTTATCATTTGGTTAGTCACAGAGCTTTTATTTTCTGTTTGTATTTTTGCCTTTTTAATAATAAAATGGAGATGTTTTCGTTTTTTCCTTCTGTTGGTACAGATCTGTTTTCCTTCTAGATAGGACCAGGTGAAATTTAGTATTGGTGTTTTGTAATCATGAAATAAACATACAAAAATGTATACTATAATATTTATCTTAAATAATAAGACAAATATCTGTATGTTTATTATTCAACTTAAGAACTTGAACATTACCAAAATCTTCAAAGCATCCTTTAACCCTTCCAATAGCATCTCCTTTTTCTCTCCCACAAATAGTAACCACTGTCCCGGATGTTGTGTCTATCATTTCTTTGCTATTTAAAAAATTTTGTCATGTATATATGTATCCCTAAAAAACATAGTAGTTTCCATTTTCATGTTTTTGGATTTACTAAAATAGCACTGTGAATACTTTCCTCTGTGACATGCTTTTGGCTTAATGATATATTTATGAAGTCAATCCATAAGAACATAGTTCACAAATGCATAGTTTTCCCTTCATCTGCAAATGCTATAATACCACAATTTATGTATTTATCCTCCTTAATAGATATGAGTGTTGTTTCCAGGTTTGTGCTATTATCAATTGATAAACATGCTTGCTGTGTTTCCTGATACACATGTATGATTGTATCTCTAAGATTCATATTTTGGGCTTGAATTGCTGGTCATGGTATTACTGTGTTCTTTTTCCTGTTGTTCATGATACTGATGTGACTTTCTCCCTGATTCTTGGGCACATCATTGGTGAACTGTTTTATTTGAATTATTTGCATATTGTACACAAGGAGGGATAGCTCATGCTGATGCTTTCCACCGTGCTTATAGTTATCTAGTCTTTTTGCCAGTAATCTTAGTACAGTGTGACTCTTCATTGCCAAAACTAATATTTGTCATGCTCTGATCAGCGCATTAATACTCCTTGAGCATTTACTGTGTATATACAGAGTGTCATGGTATGTCAAAAAAAAGCATTGCTTATGATATTAACAATGGAATATTTTTAAAAGCAAAAAGAAAATAATGCATTGATCAGCATATTATAGATCCCTATACCAAAGAGTCAGAATTCCTTGTAGTCCGACTTGTGTTTTGGTATATTAGCTTATGCTGCTGCTGCTGCTAAGTCGCTTCAGTCGTGTCCGACTCTGTGTGACCCCATAAATGGCAGTCCACCAGGCTCCCCCGTCACTGGGATTCTCCAGGCAAGAACACTGGAGTGGGTTGCCATTTCCTTCTCCAATGCAGGAAAGTGAAAAGTGGAAGTGAAGTCATTCAGTCGTGTCCGACTCTTAGTGACCCCGTGGACTGCAGCCCACCAGGCCCCTCCGTCCATGGGATTTTCCAGGCAAGAGTACTCTAGACAAATTATTTAATCCTTCTGAAGATATTTTCCCATGTTTAAAAAATAGGGATAAAGTATTTGTCCTACCTATCTGATAAATACATTATGAAAATAAAATGAGACAGTAGCTATCAAAGCCCTTGAAAGTTTTTCATCATTAATATAATGTGTGATTTAGAGTTCATGGACTTATGCATTTACGGCTGTCTGATATCACATTTTGTGTGTTAATGCCATTTTGGGCATACATTGTATTCAGTACTCTGCTATGCATTAGAAATTAGAAATGCTATGCATTTTCTTAAGAAGCTCACTTTATAAGCAAAAGGGAAAAAGAAATAATTAAGAGTGGTGCATGTCATTGTAATACTCTGATTTGTTGCTGGTCCCAGCAGATAATTGAAGTGTACAGATTACCTAAGATGTCATAGAAACTAGAGCCATTGATGGAATAGCAAGCTTGATTGTGTAGCAGTAAATTGACCTGTGCACTGTAAATGCCATTTTATCTTCTCCTGTAGCATTCACAACTAAGTTAGAGACACATCCTTTTCCTAGCAAGGTTCTCTTTAGAAGTGTATGGCAAAGAGCAAATATACTTTAAGGAGAAAGAATTTCTAGTATTATGGAAAATGTTTGCAATATAAGTGATATTTTTTCAGCCAATTTTAAGAACCTGGGGATTATAAACTATCATAGTTTGGTAATGGTGTTGTTGAGGGTGATGGGACGTTTGAGAATGATGTGCCTTTAAATGAATTCTGCATGTACCAATGTGAAAGTTAGTGCTTCTGTGTCACTCAGTTCAGTCGCTCAGTTGTCTCCGACTCTTTGTGACCCCATGGACTGCAGCACACCAGGCTTCCCTGTCCATTACCAACTCCCAGAGCTTCCTCAAACTCATGTCCATTGAGTTGGAGATGCCATCCAACCATCTTATCCTCTGTCGTCCTCTTCTGCCTTCAATCTTTCCCAGCATCAGGGTCTTTTCAAATGAGTCTGCTCTTTGCATCAGGTGACCAACGTATTGGAGTTTCAGCTTCAGCATCAGTTCTTCCAATGAATATTCAGGACTGATCTCCTTTAGGATGGACTGGTTGGATCTCCTTGCAGTCCGAGGGACTCTCAAGAGTCTTCTCCAACACCACAATTCAAAAGCATCAATTCTTCGGCGCTCAGCTTTCTTTATGGTCCAACTCTCACATCCATACGTGACTACTGGAAAAACCATAGCTTTGACTTTGTGGACCTTTGTTGGCAAAGTAATGTGTCTGCTTTTTAATATGCTGTCTAGGTTGGTCATAACTTTTCTTCTTCAAGGAGCAAGCTGCTTTTAATTTCATGACTGCAGTCACCATCTGCGGTGATTTTGGAGTCCAAGAAAATAAAGTCTCTCACTGTTTCCATTGTTTCCTATCTGTTTGCCATGAGGTGCCATGATTTTAGATTTTTGAATTTTGAGTTTCACTCTCCTCTTTCACTTTCATCAAGAGGCTTTTTAGTTCCTCTTCACTTTCTGCCATAAGAGTGGTGTTATCTGTATATCTGATGTTATTGATATTTCTCCTTGCAATCTTGATTCCAGCTTGTGCTTCATCCAGCCCAGCATTTCTCATGATGTACTCCACATATAAGTTAAATAAGCAGGGTGACAGTGTACAGCCTTGATGTACTCCTTTCCCAATTTGGAACCAGTCCGTTGTTCCCTGTCCGGTTCTAACTGTTGCTTCTTGACCTGCACACAGGTTTCTCAGGAGGCAGGTAAGGTGGTCTTATATTCCAGTCTCTTTAAGAATTTTCCACAGTTTGTTGTGATCCACACAGTAAAAGGCTTTAGTGTAGTAATGAAGCAGAAGTAAATGTTTTTCTGGAATTCTCTTGATTTTTCTGTGATCTAATCTCTGGTTCCTCTGCCTTTTCCAAATTCAGCTTGAACATCTGGAAGTTCTCGGTTCATGTACTGTTGAAGCCTAGCTTGGAGAATTTTGAGCATTTCTTTGCTAGCGTGTGAGATGAGTGCAATTGTGCGGTAGTTTTAATATTCTTGAGCATTGCCTTTCTTTGGGACTGAAGTGAAAACTGATCTTTTCCAGTCCTGTGGCCACTGCTGAGTTTTCCAAATTTGCTGGCATTTTGAGTGCAGCACTTTAACTGCATCATCTTTTAGAATGTGAAATAGCTCAACTGGAATTCCATATCCTCCACTAGCTTTGTTTGTAGTGATGCTTCCTAAGGCCCATTTGACTTCACACTCCAGGATGTCTGGCTCTAGGTGAGTGATCACACCATCATGGTTATCTTGGTCATTAAGATCTTTTTGTATAGTTCTTCCATGTATTCTTGCCACCTTTTCTGCTTGCCATCTTCTGCTTCTGTTAGGTCCATACCATCTGTGTCCTTCACTGTGCCCATCTTTGCATGAAAAGTTCCTTGGTATCTCTAATTTCCTTGAAGAGATCTCTAGTCTTTCCCATTCTATTGTTTTCCTCTATTTCTTTGCACTGATCACTGATGAAGGTTTTCTTATCTCTCCTTGCTCTTCTTTGGAACTCTGCATTCAGATGGGTATATCTTCCTTTTCTCCTTTGCCTTTTGCTTTTCTTCTTTTCTCAGCTATTTGTCTTCTCCTCAGACAACCATTTTGCTTTTTTGCATTTCTTTTTCTTGGGGATGGTCTTGATCCCTGCTTCCTGTACAGTGTCATGAACCTCTGTCCATACTTCTTCAGGCACTCTATCAGATCTAATCCCTTGAATCTACTTGCCACTTCCACTGTATAATCGTAAGGAATTTAATCTAGGTCATACCTGAATGGTCTGGTGGTTTTCCCTACTGTCTTCTGTTTAAGTCTGAATTTTACAATAGGGAGTTCATGATCTGAGCCACAGTCAGCTCCCAGTCTTGTTTTTGCTCACTGTGGAGAGCTTCTCCATCTTCAGCTACTACCCACAGTGACACATTTGTGTCACTACCCAAGAGCTATGTCTGCACACATCCAGCCTCTGAAGCCTTAGGAGACTCCTATATTTCATATTCTAGGTGGACATGCTGTGCATCTCAAGTTTAGTGGTTGTATTAGTCAGGGTTATCCAGAGAAACAAAACCCATAGGATATACATACGTGCACACAGAGAATGAGAGGGAGAAATAATGAGGTGGGGGGATTGATTTATTTTAAGGCATTGGCAGGTCTGACATCCATGAGGTGTACTGGCAGGTTGCAGATTCAAGTAGCAGTAAGGCATCTGAAATCTGAGGGCAGGGCAGCAAACTGGAAACTCAGGCAGGGTTTCTTGTTACAGTCTTAAGGCAGAATTGCTGCTTCCAAAAATCTGTCTTTTTTCTTAAGTCCTTTAACTGATTGAGATATACTACCACCCGCTCCAATATTCTTGTCTGGAGAATCCCGTGGACAGTGGAGCCTGGAAGACTACAGTCCATGAGGTTGCAAAGAGTTGGACACAACTGAAGTGACTTAGCACACACGCACAACTTACGGAGGGCATTTTGCTGTATTTAATATCTACTGATTTAAATGTCAATCACATCTAAAAAAATAGCTCCATAGCAACGGTTGGATGGGTGTTTGACTCAAAACCTAGCCAAGTCAACATGCGCAATTAAGTGTCACAGGGGACATTGAGCTTCAGAGTTGTAGTCAGTGATTAGTAGAATCCTGAGCTTGTCCGTAGGGGTGTGTAATCACATTTATTTTCTGTGTAGATAATCGGAAACTAAATATCTCAGAATGTGGGGTTCTGAGCTTCTGTCTAATCCTAAAATATGATCTGTTTCATTCTAGAATATAAAATGCTATCTGATTTGCATAGATTCCTCCCAGGTGAGGTCTGCTATCATTCTCCAGCTCTTCTCCCCTTGAGGTTAGGGTTGATACTCCTCTCTTGGCATCTCTTTGGCCAGGAGGCTACATCTTATCCCAGGTTCTCCAGGCTGCACGCAGAACTGCTCTATTAGTGGTACAGATCCTGTGCAATCCCAGACCAGAGCCAGTATGCACTGTTTAACCTTTCTAGAATTGAAACGCAGCCTAGAGTACAAGGAAGTGCATTTGATTTTCTTACTTTTCCTTGGCTGAAGCCCTCTTTGCAAATGTTTCAAGCATTGTGCCTTCTTGTCCAGCTGCAGTATTTTGATATTTCTTTGGAAGTAGTAGCTAGATCCATCCACCATCCATCCAGCCTCATCTCTGGTGTTACTTGGTGCTTACATCATTCCAATGTGGTCTCAGGAGGATCAGAAGATATGCCTAGTTGCGACCCTAGAAGCTTGAAATGTAGTTAGGGGACATGAAGCTGATATTTATAGTGAAGCTTACTGTAGCTTTACTATAAGAGAAGGAGAAAATGCTTATTTGATTAATTATTTTATATTAACACCCAAAAGAGATTTGCTTATTAACTGGAATTTTTAGACGACAGGCATGAGTGGTTGATCTCATTGATTAGCTTACTAGAAATAATCCATTTATTGAGTCATCCCTAACTTAATTCTAGAAGGTAAGCTGAAGTGTTTTTGAAGGCATAGTGAAAAGATTAGGACTCTTCCTTCTATAAAGAAAAAAAGATTATAAGGGAATATGTACTGAAGTCTATAAAATCATAATGTAGATTATACCAAACCAAAACAGCATAACAATTTTATTACTAAGTTTACAACTGTACATATTCTAAAACATAGTAGTATCTCATTCTAGTCAGAAGTAGAATCTAGTAAATTCCATATTTCTGTTTTGTCCTGTCTTAATTGATTAAAAACACTGTTTAGAAAATTATGATTGAGAACAGATCTATCCTAAGTTTTCTTTTTTAAACAAAGTGCAAGTATATGTTTTACATATTTGCTTTTACTTAGGAAAAAAAAACTTACTTAGAAAAGTACAGCTTGGGTGTAGTACTATGTGGTGTAAACAACTGAACTATTTTACTTTTTACTTTCCTATGAATGAGCCAGTATATATTTATTACTGGAGTTCCAGCTGTAAAATTCAGGTAAGAAGTTTAAATATACCCTAGAGTATTATTTAAAAATAAATGTGTTTCTTTCAAATAGAATACCAACCTTGGTCTATGACATTTAGGGGAGAAATTAAAATATTAAACTTTTATTACCTAGTAAACTGAAAATAAAGTAAAGGTTAAATAAATACAAAGCAGAAAAATATATATATATACAAAATCACAACGTCTAAAAGAACAAACAGTTTACTGTTCTCTCTTGTGGGAGCTTTATCAGCAGTAGTAAGTAATTCCATCTTTAGGTCAGTGTAGTACTCAAAAATGTAAGCAAGTATGTATTTTGTCTACATAAAGAAATATGCCATACGGTTTATACTTTATAGATATCAAACAACTAAGTGAATTGTTTCAATGCACCAGTAGGGGCCAGCAAAGAGCTCTTAGAGTTTTTCAGAATAGAGTTGGCATTGAGATCTGTTTATTTGATGTGTTAAATCCTTTTTAGACTTCTTTACTTTCCACAACACTCTCTTAAGTGAATGAATTGCATAGACAGTGGAATAAAATATCTTGTGTGCTCAAACTATATTGGGGTATAGTTTTTCTGTCTAATCTGCATATATTTTTAATGGAATGTTTGCTTAGGCTATTTCTTGGCAGAGTTTTAATAGTCAAAATATAAATGGAATCATTTAAAGACTGTACTGCTTGGCTGGAAAGGCCTTAAAATTACAGGAGAAAATGCCTGGTGACAGCTTCTCACAAACTTTTTTTTCTCAGACGTATGCTCAATTTTTGCAATAGAATTACTAGGCTAATTTTGTATTTCGATCCTTCAGCTTTCACTTTTTATAAGTACGTAGTGTTTTGGAAACTAAAATATTTATCTGTTTATTTTAATGCTAAACTTTTAATTCACCCCCAAAGTTTTGGTATTTCCAAATATATACAAACATTTGAACTTTCTCCTTTAAAAAATATTAACAGTCTATATTCCTTTCTACATTTACTAAGTTGACTGGATTCCTAGTATGGCCACTATTTGGAAATGCAATCCTTGATTTGATACTCAATTACATGGAGTTTCATTCCTACCAACTTCCTGTAATTCTATCCCTATGGGTAAAAATATTAGTGGTCAAACTCTGCTGGAGAAAGTATAGGCACCGTGATTCACAGAGTTAAATGTTCATTTAGTAGAGCTGGAGTGAAAAAAATACTGTTTCAACTTGAAATGCTAGAAGATTGTTGTTCTTGTGTTACTCATTCATGCAAATTGGAGAAGGTATAATTGAAACAAGGTTGGCAGTGTTTGAGGCAGTGTGCTGCAGCTGAGCTCAGCTTAAAGGTCGCTGGAAATCAAGTGCTTTGTAAGTGAAGGCATTTTGACTACAAGCGATTCAAGACATTTTGGAAACGTCAGTCTCGGGAATGGGCCGTCTTTTTCTTTCTATGCTATCTGGTCTTTAAGGTTTTACTTAGGATGAAGACTACTACTTCTGAGCTCTTTCAGGCACCACAAATGATTTTTTCTTTTGCTGCAGTGCAGCTGCTTCTAGCCTGTCTACCGACAGAGATCTTTGTTATGACTCTCAGCCCTTAACATGTTTGGAAATGAGAACAAATGGCACAGAGCTTACGATTGCACTTTGCAGCCAGAAGAAGCAATACTTATCCTTTGTCAGAAACCTCCGGAGATGATTTGGATAGCAGCATTCACATGTGCTTCACGAGACCAACCCGGATTTCAACAGCAAACGTGGTTCAAATGAAGCTGACTCCCAAACAGACTGCACTAGCTCCGTTAATAAAGGAAAACCTTAAGTCTCGGGAAAGATCATCTTTTCCTTCACCTGAAAATGTTCATAAAAAGAGCAGCTGTCTGCAGATATCATTACAACCAACAAGGTACAGTGGATGTCTTCAGCCTGGCAGTGTCTTAGCTGATGGTGATGATGCTTCGTTTACTTGTGTCTTAAAGGCTGGCAGTGCTGTGGTTGATAGTGAACTGAATGCCATGGGTGGTGGTGACCTCTTGAGCGGTCCTGCCCTTTGCAGTGGTAGCCTTAGTAACTTTTCAGCCAGTGAGAATGGGTCTTGCAGCAGCAATGGTAGTGATTATGGGTCCTGCACAAGTATCACCAGTGGAGGTTCATGCACCAACAGTATCCTCAGTGACAGCAGTGGTTATACTTTTCCACCAACTGATGATACCTTTCTTGGTGGGGATTTATCTTCTGACAGCGCCTCCAATAGAAGTGTGCCAAACAGGAATACTACTCCATGTGAAATTTTTTCAAGAAGCACAAGCACAGTTCCCTTTGTCCAGGATGACTTGGATCATGGACTAGAGATTATGAAATTGCCAGTGAGCAGGAACTCGAAAATTCCACTAAAGCGTTGTTCATCCTTAGTCATTTTTCCTAGGAGTCCTTCAAATACCCCACCAACTTCTCCAACAAGTACAGGTACTCTTCTAAGCAAAGGATCCTATCAGACCTCACACCAGTTTATTATTTCTCCTAGTGAAATTGCCCACAGTGAAGATGGCACTAGTGCTAAGGGATTTCTTTCAACAGCTGTCAATGGACTTCGGTTATCCAAGACAGTCTGTACTCCCGGAGAAGTAAGAGACGTACGACCTCTTCACAGGAAGGGCTCATTACAGAAGAAAATCATTATTGCAAATAATAGTCCAAATCAGACTGTCTGTGAAAAGCCATCTGAAGGATATTCTTGTGTTTCACTGCATTTTACCCAGCAGAAAGCAACTGCATTAGACTGTGAAGCAGCAAATGGTGATTGTAAACCAGAGATGTCAGAAACTGAGCTTAATTCTGATCCAGAGTTTATTAAGCTTATGCATAGGACATCTGCATGTTCACCATCCTCCCAAAATGTAGATTATCAAATAAGTATCAATGGACAGTTGGAAAGACCAAATTTACAGATAAACAAAAACCATGCTCTTTTACAGAGAAGTATTTCATTGGGGGGAACTTATCCAAATGCTTCCTGTTTATCTAGCCTTAAGCACAATTGTTCTAAGGGGGGACCATCTCAATTACTCATAAAGTTTGCATCTGGAAATGAAGGTAAAGTTGATAATTTAACAAGGGACAGCAACCGAGATTTCACAAACGAACTACCTAATTCTTTAAAGCATTCTTGTAAGGTAAGTTTCCTTTGGTTTTGGATAATGTTAATTTATACTAGGATAGTTCTGTGAAGTATTTGGTAAAATTTATTATAACTTGGCTGCTTTATATATTTTCTTGGTCCTTAGCTAGCAAGTACTTTGTAGTCATGAACTTGATATTTGTGACTCTGAAAAGTGCCTAATAGTTTTTCATTGTATTTGCTACTTTATCAGCATACAAAATATGCATTAAAAAAAAAAAACTTTCCAAAGTGATTTAAGCCATAAAACATTCTGTAGCATAAGAACAGGCTTTAAATAATAATTTATTTTATAATACTTTTAGTATATTTTCCCCTTGAGTGGCATGGTGTTTTAAAGTCTAACTCTGTATTTCATTCTTATTTTCAAAAATGCTCATTTAGTATTCTCCCCTCTTTAAGCATTATGAAAAAAAGTAAAATATAGAAAGCCACTTACAATATTAAACAGTAAAAAGTCGACTTAAATGTGAAACTTTTCTTATAAGTGAACATAGAGAAAATATTTCTTTGAAATACATATATTTATTTGATCATTGATAAAAACTATTATACTGAATGTTTAAAGCAGAGGAAAAATAAATGGTATTTGCATTTGTATATACCCTTAACCACAGGAATTTTGTTCCACCCTGTTTTTCTTTAGCTACCAGTTAAGAGTGCCTTCTAAAATGTAACTCATTCTTTTGACAATATTGAACTCTAAATTTTATATTTTCAAATTTGGTTTCAATTGCTAGGCATTTCCTACTTACCTTATTAATTTGTTATTTGGGTAATTTTGCTTTATTAGAGTAGTAATTTAACTCCGGTGAATCTTAACCAAAACAGTTTTTTAGTATAATTTGGCCTTTCCAAAGTAGTTTAAGTGTTTTGAAGTTGAATAGATTTTAAAAATTTCTGTGTTTGGAAGATCTTGCCAGATTTTAGGAAATTAAAAAAAAAAAGTATTTCTGACTAAACCAATTCTAGATGACAGTACATAATAGTTTGAGGCAAAGAAACTTATCTGCTTATCTGTATTTATAACACTTACTATCAAAATTAAAGTTTTTTTTAAAATTTCTGGGCAAATAAAGTATTAAATATTTGCTAGTTTGTTTTCTCTCTTTTGAAATCTGATGAATATAATTCTTATTACCAATGCCCAGATGTTAGCATAAGCAATTACTTTACTGAGGATGAATAAAAATCACATTTCATATTCTGATGTGTGTTTTAGAATTATTAATTCCGTTTGCAAAACTTTTAAAACACTAACTGTTAGGAGATTATAATCCATTCAATTATTTTGTCTCCTAAAAAAAAGCAATTAACTGATACTGTGAAAAAACACATTAGTAGTTTGCTAATTGAATTACATGTACCTTGTAAGTGTATTTTACGTTTAATGAAATAATTAACCTGAAACAAATAATTGACCTAGAAATATTTATAGCAATATTCTTTAAAGAATTGATTTTGTGGTAATATTATAGTTTGTTGCTTTTGATACTTTTGAAAAAATGGTCTTTTTAATGTTTTTAAATTAAATTTGACTGTCTTTTATGTGGCTAAAAGATATACTTTCACTGGTTTTTCTTTAAAATTGGGTAAGCTAACTTAAACATATTTTGTGACAGCCGAATGCCTAGCTTTCTGCAGATTCTATTTTTTTCTAGATTATTCAATTATAAAATCGTTGAAGTGTGTTGTTTGCTGGAAAGCTTTAAGTTGTTCCTCCTCTTAATGTTTATTAAACAACTTTTTATATAAGAATTGTAAACAACATAGGACCATTAAACAACACATGCTAGATCTAAATTGATCTAATTGATTAGTGGTAAATTAAGGGCTTGTTTTAAGAGGGAAATAGTAATGTTGTTTTTTCTAAACATAGCAGTGACAACAATAATGGGGTTTTAGAAATAATCCTGTGTTTATCAATAATTATATATTAATCTAATTATAGTGGTATATTGTAACTCACTTATAAATAAACAGCTCCCAAAATATTTCCCATGACTCCAGTTAGTCTGGGTTAGTATTCTGATATGCTGAGTCTGGATTCACATTTAACAAGTTGATATTAGAGTAGCATTTAGTAATGTCAGCTATCTGTACCCAGCAGCCGTGAAATTAAATCACTGCTTTGGTCAGGGACCCTGGTTTCTAAAACATGAAGAGGTCTACAGATTCTTTTCCTCTGTGTTTAGCGTCCAGTCTCTAGCAGAATAGTATCCAGTTTCTCACTCTATAATCAACAGCTCATTAATAGCTAATTATTTAAATCTAGTGAGAACTTTTATTTGTATCTACAACTGGGTTCTGTGTGTTGTTTACAATTTAGAATGAAGAAGAGACTTTGTAATCTGCATGATCATGTTTATTTCACTTATTTGTCTTCAAAGAATGTACCACTAACTGACATGTATTTATTGTATGTACTTTTTGAGAGGCAATATTACTTTTGTAAAGGCTTTATAATCTGGAATAAGGCATTTATTTGATATTTTAACATTGTGTGTATTATCAGCTTGATCAAGAGAGAGATTAGGTAGGTGAGATGGTTTTTATTCAGTTAAAAAAATTATCATTAGATATCTAAAATCTGTGTAATAGTTAGTTTACTCTGTTGTTGTTTCACTTTCCCCTATGTTTTTAAAATTTCCTGTGTTGTTAGGATGCTCAGAAATTTCATTGCCCTGTTATTTTAAATACTTTAGCATTTGCCCTAGCTCGTTAATGTCTTCCATTCTTCCTGTATATGCATATTTTTATCAGAAAGTTTGGCTTTGCATTTTTCTTTTTATTGTAAAGGTTTATGTTTATTTTCTGTTATTTAATCTCAGGTAAATTGCTTAAGCCCAGTATGGTAGAACTTTAAAAAACTGCCTCAATTATTTCAAAGCCTTTAAAACTAATCTCAAGATTGTACGTTTCAATAATATATTTAGTTGTTCTTCCCAAAATAACTGTTTTAAATATACACTATTTTCAGTGTTCCATTATTTTCTGTCCTCATTTTATTAACTTTAGCAGAATATTTAGAGACATTTGGTTAAATTTATTTTGAACACTTAATCTTTCCTATAAAAATCAATATAGTTTATAAATATTGACTCTAAAACTGTGATGCAACAATGTTAATGACCAGTTTTAGAAACTTGGTAAGAAGTATGTGCTTGTACATGTGCATTTCTTAGAACTGAAGAACTAAAATACTAATTTCAGGGTGGTTCAGGGAGCTAAATTGTTTTCTTCAGAAATATTTTGTATTTCTCTGGAGATGATTCTTTAATTCATTCATCTAGCACTTGTGTGAGTGCTTCCTGTTTGCCAGTCACGGACTCAAGCTCTGGGAATAAAAGATAATAAAGCACAATGTCTTCCTGGGGGGACTCCTATTCTTCTTAGAGACATATTGGTAGACAAGAGAAATCTCAGACTCAAATGTGATGTGCTGAAATAGAGCTGTATATGAGAAAGTGAGAAAGATGCAACAATGTTTGTCTGAAGGAGAGGACCGAGTTGGTAGTCAAAGGCTTCACAGGGGAGGTGACATTTGAGCTGAATCTTAATGGGTGAGTTGGAGTTCCCCAGGCAGAGAATCAAGGAGGATATTTAGGTCAGGGATTCTCAATCTCAGCACTTTTTTGTTGTGGAGGGCTGTCCTGTATCTTGTAGGATGTAAGCAGCATCCCTGGTGTCCATTTACTTAATGCCAGTGGCATCATCTCCCTCACTTGTCACAATCAAAAAATGCCTCCAGACATGGCCAAATGCCCCCCAGGGGCAAACCTGACTGATGTTGGGACGTGTTGCCGCAGGCAGAAGCAGCCACACGTACAAGGCTGGAGATGTGACAGAGCCACGCTGTAAGTAGTTGAGCGTGACTGGAGTAAGCAGAGTCCAGGGTCGTGGTAGGAGATGATAACACTAGAAGTGGGTGGGAGTTCCATGGCGTGGAGCACCTCATGCTTAAGGAAAGCAGCGTGTCTCCTGCCGACAGACAATAGTTAGGCGACGGAAGTTGTTGTTGAGAGTGTAGTGTGCTTACTTTTGTGTTTGTAGATGATGATTTTTTTTACGGCACTATGGATTATAAGTGAATTAAACTTTTCTTAACTCGGCCAGCCAGGTGAATAGTGACATCATGAACTAAGATGGGGAATTCAGGAGAAGGGGCCAGATTGGGAGGGCAAAGAAGAAACCATGAATCATTAAGTTTTTGTCCTGAGAGGTTGCCCTGGTTGTACCGCTGTCCAGTAGGGTAGTTGGAGATACGGGCTCAGGCTCAGGAGAGGAGTGAGAGCTGGAAATGTAGCTTGGGCGTTAAGCGTCTAGTCAGACTTTGGTAAGGATGGACTGGAAAAAGCATGAAAGTGAGATGGGAGGAGTGATATATCAGAGTTTTGGGGACTACTAACTTGGAAGAAACAGTGGAGGAGGAGATAAAAGGGAGACTAAGAGTCACCAGAAGGGCAGAGAGGCCCAGAGAGCTTAGAGGCCTGAAAGCCAAGAGAGTGGAAAGTTCAAGGCGGGCAGCATACAATGCCATGGAATTTATGTATCCATTGAAAGTAGGAGGTCTTCTTGACTTTACTAAGAGCAGGCTCAGGAGAATAGTGTGAAAGCCTGGATGAAAAAAGAATGAAACAGGTAAGGAAGCAAAAACAGGCATAGCTTGTTTGCTCAGTGTCACAAAAATAGTCATGAGTTAGTGTAGGCAAGGTTTATATTTAATGGCTACAATATAGAAGACACAGTGTTAGGCAGATATAATTGCATAAGACAGATTGTCTGTTACAAGAATATTGCAGCCTGTTCTCTAGGAGAAAAAAAGTTCTGTAGCTCCCTGTTGTTTCACCTTGGAACAATAGAATAAGTGAGCACAGGCAGAGAAAACTGAAGTGGAGAGTCAGCAGTATGAAATGAAGGGAAAAAATTAGGAGTGAAAATGTGAGATGGCCTATGAGTAGGCATAACTCTTGGTGAACAGCATTATTCAAATTT